AGAATACAAAGAGACACACTCAATGTGGGACTTCTATACTATGTACAACAACATAGATGATGGTTGGTGTATGCTTCTAGCGCAATGGAGCAGACTAGGGGTACTTGCAAAGACAAATACTCCAATGCTCAAGTCAGTATCAATGCAAGGTTTATGTTATGTTTTTATGGGAATCAAATCATCATAACTGAGTTTGTACCCTTTATATATATATCAAGTCTTATGCCGCCTTTGGTAGGCGGCATGCCTTTTTATTGGTTGTTATGGACTGCCAACTTATCTGCCTCAGCTGGTGCCTTTATGGCTATAGGTCTATATATTTGTCTGTCTTCTTAGAGCGGTGGCAAGTTGGAGCTGTCTTTCGCGTGTTGGCTTATATGCGCGGTGGATCTCATCTTGTTACAGGATCTTTCCTTAGCCTTTAAGTCACACAAGGCGGTTCTGCGTAATGTGGCCATTGCGCTTCTTGGTTCTTCTGCGCGATGCTTGTATCGCCCGTTATAGGCCTGTGTATTGCTTGGGCCCTTTCTGGGTCTTAACTCTGGTGGGCCTATATAATTATCCAGATCAGTAACAATATAGGACCTCTCAATAGCAGGATGACTGCATATTAAAGTTTTAACTTTAATGAATTTGTCAATATATTACTGACAATTTTTGTTATGCTTGCAAAATATTTTTACTCTAGTGTAACATTTAAGCAATAGCAACTAGCTAATCCTATCTATTAATTATATGATTGATCAAGCTGGATTTTCAAAGTGCTCGTAGTTTATGCCATTTTCTTACAGGCATTCCCTGGATTAAGCACAGATAATAGCCTAAAAAATATCCCTGAACTCAGGAGAGGCATGAAGCTGACCTCAATATTCTGATGTAAAGCACAACAAAAGGCTGAGTGCAAAAGCAATAGTAGCACATCCCTACTTTGAAAGGGAAGGCCTATTGGCATTATCTTTAATGCAAAAGCTGTGGCTGCAGCTCTTAGGTACCACTCTGCGGGACCATTGGAAAGGTACCACGTTGGTTATTAGGCTAAATGGCAAAGTTAGGAACTCTAAAGATTGCGGATTCACTGAAGCTCAGCTTCAGGAACTGAGAATATTATCTTAACTTTATTCTGAAATCACTTTTTCTTTAACATTTATATTAAGGTAATGAGTTTTTTTCTTTTCATTTTGTAGAAAATTAAACCCAAGAAGGCTAGTGCACAGAAAGTTGCTCTAGCTTCAGCTCTTAAACTTCAGAAAAAAAAATTAACAACCTTGAATAAGAGTATGGATGAGCTCCTCAACCAACTCAGGAAAAGCCTTTGGTGTAGCAGATGGATCCCCATAGAGGAATGAAGATTGTAAATAATTGTAATACATGTAAGAATTTTGTCTATATTTTGGATACCAAAATTAATTATCTTGTTAAGATAGAACAGTGTTTAGTATGAAAAGAAAAAATAAACAAACTAGTGTCTGATGGAGATGTAACTGGAATCTTTTGACCGCACGTGTAAGCCTCCTTTATATAAGATATGCTGAGAAGTTGTTGAATGACAGAAATCGTGATAATAACATAACATATTATCTTAGAGTGGCACTTTTTTTTTATGTTTCTTCTGGCCAGCTGTGATCCCTTAATAAATAAAAACTCATTGTTGTCCATAGACTTTTAGACAGTATGAAAAGACCCTGTAACTTCTCACTTTAAATTATGTTTCTTATTTCATTTGATTGAGTAAAGGACCGAAACTACGAGATTTTTCAATAGATGACCCCTTTACTTGAAGATAAGATCGTACTCTGGATCTGCAAAAGTTGAGTAGTTTCATAATTGCATCTTAAATCTTCTGAATAGTTGAGATTACTCACACTTATCACTAGATGTGAGACAATAATTATTCATAAATGAACAAAACAGTACTCGTGCTAAATCAAATTAAATCGACAAAAGATTATTTATGTAACTAAAATAAGATCGTTGTCGTTTGTCACTTCCACTCTCATTATGTTTGTGAGAATCCTCATGAATTAGTTGTGCCTTGAATTCCAAAGTTGCATATACTTGTTATCTAACACCTATGGTGCCTTCAGCAATTGGTAATAGAGTCATTTGACTTGTCATTGTTACAAAACCAGCTATGAACCATGCTGGTTATGTAGTAAATTAGAAGTTGGCTATAGTCACTTAACGTGCTATTATTGTTTACATAAGCGAAGCTGTACTTATTATTTAACTAGTAAGCCACAATGTGTGGTGTTGCACACAAAAGAAGCTTCGTGTTACATTCCCATTTGTGATATGCTGCTAAGAGAGGACAGCTGAAAGTCCCTAACCAAATCAACACATCGCGTTGAAAATCGACACACAAATCGGAAATAGTAAAGAGAAAGGGAAGAGATATTTGACACAGTGATTTACTTGATTCACCCAATGTAGGCTACGTCTAGCTTGTATGTACTATATTCACCTCACCACCACTCGTTACAAGTTACTCAGTTTACAAGGGACTATAAATAGGATTTAAAAAATCCTAATCCCAGTTCACTTTCCGTTGACCCTGCCAACAAAAATCTTCGTTTGAATGTAAAGTATGAGCCATACCTAACACATTCCACTAATGAAAATTCTTTAAAACTAAAATTCTTTACATAATGTGGCTGTTTTGAGTTTTTCAAAAGTCTCTATATGGGCATTTGGGATGGGTGTGAAGGAACATGTGGTGACTTTGTTCCTTAAGAATCAAGCATCAAGAAGAGGAATGGAGATGGGGTTGTGGCTCAAATGCTGGAAGTACATATTAAAAATTAAATTAATAATATAATGTTGATTATATCGCAGGCAAAGGTGTTGTGAATCACGAGAACTTCACGTGCAACTCTGACTTCCTTGTTCAGTACAAACGACTAATTTTTTTTAAGTTTCAAGATATGCCATGGTTGGACCACTTTGATCACAGAGCATTTCATACATTAATGTTATCACCTCTGTCGCTAATGTTGTTAAGTTCTCACGGTTTCACTTTGTCTCACGCTTTCAATTAACAAGGAAGTGCACCGATCGCTTAATTGTATATCATGAAAGGTTAAATAGGATTAAAAAAGGGTTACATTTTTTATGTGACGATCTAATAACGCACATTTAAATGTTCTCGATATTGACAAGCTCATAAATCGATACTGAAGACAACTAAGAGAAAAAAAGAGAGAAGAAAGAATAAAAAAGTAGCAAGATTGTTATTAGTACAAGCAGTTGGAAAAAGGTTGGCAACAAGTGACTTGGGGAGAGCACGAGGTAGAGCAAGTGGGTGATCATGTTTTGCCTTTGGCTAAGTATTGATTAGTCTATCATTGATTTAATTAATCACTTAGCTGGTTTTTTTTATCACTTCTAAATAAAATTGTGTGTCCTTTCTTATGGAATCTTAGTCAAAACCTTGAAACTTACGTCCTTAGCTACTTTTCTTAGCCTTTGTGATGTTGAAACCATTTTTCATTAAACCCTGGCTAGCGAGTAGGGCAACGACAATCTTTGTACGCAATCTTAACATTTGCATAATTGCAAAGAAATTATTCAATCTGGTGACCTTTCGATCACAAAGATTTACCACGGTTATAGGCTCGTACTCTTATTAGCCTGTGTGATGTTACTGGGGAAAAAAAAAAAAAAAACTTTTTCTATCCTGTGATCCATCTCATTAGCAAAATGCTTTCAGGCTGATGCAAAAGCCACTTTTTCTTATTTTTATATCCCTTTAAGGGCAAGAGATATTAACCAGTATTGATTTGGATTTTCTATCTTTTTTTCTTATAGTATTTTGGGTTTCCTGTTAAGGAGAAACAAAATACAGTGTGAAGGGGCAGAAAATTCTGACCTATCATCATCATTTGTAAGAATCTTGTCATTCAAAGCCTTAGCTCGTGCAAATATCTCATTACTGCTTCTATATTCTTGCTGTCTCCTCCAAAGCTGTCAGAACCCAATAACATATTCTGATATTCAGTTGGTTTTGGTTTGGATATCCATTATGCAGCTTTTGCCTACAGAGAGGCCAAATAGTTTAAATAGTGTATGTAATTAGAATCGAAGAAGAAAGGACATAAATTTGATGAAATTTGTTAAATCATATCTAACTAGTAATTTTTAGAATTTGGTCGTAAGCGAGTTTCAAACCATCTCACAGAGCCTTTCATTCAACTACAGTATTATAATGTGTTACACCTTCCTTTCCCCAAGCCAAAGAAATTTAAGTTTTCATTATGATGGGGTTAGTTAGGGTCACCAAATTCAGATTCTTGTTTTCTTGAGTGAGATCACCCAAGAAGTGCAATAATTTCTGAACTTTGTACTATTGGGTAAGCTAAGCATGATGACCGTGGTAATTTAAACTTAGAAGTTGATAACTAATTATTGTGTACTTTTTCTATAAAGAGTCAAGTTAGTAATAATAAGTTAGAGTCCATTATGATCTAAAACCTTTGTAATGATTGTCGTTATGAATTCTTATGTAGGATTCAACAAAACCAACCATCAGTCATTTCCCTGATTATGTGGATCCAACGAAAGATAGACAGAAACAACAAAATAAGAAGCATTATAAAAAAGAAAAGAGAGAAGGCTTTTGTCCTAATGGGCAACAAGAAACTCACCTATTATCATGCATAAATTAAGGGCAGCTTATAATCTAAGAAAAATAAAATAAAAATGTTACCTCATAGTTGAAATGGCAGACCCATTATGCTGGTTGGTGGTGCCTACACATAGGATTATAGAGTGTGACATAGCAATCCAAGAAAGAAAGAGAGGCTTTGGTGAATTGCTTGGCTTGTTTTTTATCAAAGGGTGAGGTGGGGTCCAATTTATGTTTGTCTGGTGGGTTTGGAAGCACTGCACGCCCTTTCATGCCCCATCGGTGCCTTCTTACTAGACCAATATGAGATAGGACCACAACCCTCCTATGTTCTATAAGAACCCATCTCTCACCTATTCTAAACCAAGTCAAGGACAACACTAGCTCAAAGATCAGCAAAAGGGTAAAAAAAAAAAGAACCCCTTTTTTTCATTTCCAAGAGTTTGAACAAAGAAAAAATGAAGATGGGTAATGCTACCATGGGAGGCTCAAAGAGAAGGCTATCAAGTAGAGGACTTGGAGGGGTCCTCAGAGAGCAGAGGGCTAAGTTATACATAATAAGAAGATGTGTGGTCATGCTCCTCTGCTGGCATGACTAGTAGATGAAGTCTTGAATACTTGGAAGTCCAAGCTTGCTTCCATGGCAATGGAACAAGATTAGTTCCTTCTCTTCTTTTGTTTTTCTCCCTTGTTTCTTTCTTTCTTTCTTTCTTCCTCTGATTCATGGTGGAGTGTAAATAGCTGACGGATGGATATTATGGGAGAGGGTAACAATTTTTTGTATGGCTTGCGGGCCTTTATGTACATCGGAATAGCAATGAATTATAATGATTAACAATTTCAATTTTATTAAAGTCCATTTTACTCTTCATTCTTTTCTTAGTTTCTTCTGATTAATGAAAGCATATAAATAAGTTACCTTGTTGATAGCTTGTGCATTTTAAGAATCTTTAACAAAATTTATATCTAAGCATAGATAGAGTACTTTGATCTTTTAAGAGCACGCTCTGTGATGATAAAGTTGAAGAGTGGTTGTTCTGGTTAAGGATTATGAGTCCCCAAAAGATTCCTTTCTAAATAGAATCTCAAGTAGTATTCAGGTTTTAGTAGGAATTTCATGAGAGGAAGATTTAATTTGCCATATTCTTATGATTGTGTCAAGCACATAACGGAAAGAATCTTCTAACATTGTGGGTTTTCTTAGATTGCTTGGAGTATTCAAGAGAAAGAAGAGTTAACAACAATCCAGATTGTATATTTGAATTTCTTAAAGTGCTTCTTTCTACAATTTCACAGAACTGCAATAGTTGTACTGGTAACTGTAGCAGTACATTTTATCTTTTACAGCAGTTGAGTGCCAAGGCTAATTTCTAATTCTTTAAAACTAGTCTAGACACAATTTTTTGGCTTATGAAATTAACTACGGGTGTGTTTGGTACAAGGGTATTAAAAAAATTACTGGTAAATCTTTTTTGGTAAATGTCAATTATTATATTTGGTAGAAATAACAAAAATCAGTTTCTGGATATCTAAAATTTATCGATAATTTGATTTACAAAGAAAAGTTACTATTCAGATTACCAAAAATAATATGGTAATTCAGAATTTCAAGTAAAGGAAAAGCACAACAATAATTTTTGAAACAAAAATACCCCAACACACATCAAAACCTATATCCAATCTATCAATTACAAAAGTAAAAATAGTTTGGAGTCATTTTTGTAAAATAACCTCATATTCCAAGTCATATTTCGTTCTAAACCAAACATGAAATCAGTAATCTTTATTCAATATTTTCAGTAATATTTTGACGAACCAAACACTTTTTTCATAACATTTCGAGTAAACTCAATTTCTAGTGTATTTTCATTAATCGTGATTCTCCGATATCAGAAAATTTCTCTTATACCAAACACATCCAGAGAGAATCAATTCAGCAAAATAATTTTTTTTTTTTTTTTTGGTATGCTATTCAGCAAAATAATTTAATATAATAAAAATAAAGATCTATACCCTTTTGGTGTATTTCCTAGGCATGAACCTTTCATTTTAAGGGGGACGTAGATACAACAATAGACTTTTATATGAAAATATGAGAATATGTGAAAAAGAGAGAGAGGGAGAGAGATATTGATTAAATAATTAACTGACGCGCTAAAAGAAAGGAATTAAAATTAAAATTTAATAATAATAAATAAAGCTTATGAAACAAAAATGCTGTATACTAAGATCAAGTTAATAGCAGTGGCATCAATAATTAGACGCATGATGTAGACCCATTAATCATTTGAAGTGAAGATTTTGTTGATGACACTAGTATAGGAACTGTTAGCACAGTATATGGCTTATAGAATCTACCTTTTTTCCCTTTACCCTAAAGGGTAATATCTATAAAGTGTTTGCAGCATGAACTCAAAGAGGGATAAAAAGATTATTTTTCTTTAAAAAAAAAAACGAACAAATATCTTCTATTAAACTTATTTTAGGCATATATTATTCTTTATACATAGTTTCCAAGCTCTTTTTTATTATTAAATGCTAATATAGAGAACTCTGTTAAAAGAAATGTCTTTCATATTTGACCACAAAATTTTGGAAGAACTCTTAACACTTTTATGTTATTATTTTCTTCCAATTTATTTTAAAATTAAACATGCATATGCTATTTAATAATTTTGTCTCTTTCTTTAAAACAAATAAATAACCCACATATGATATGATAACAACTTGTGACATTTTGATTTACTTTTTTCCTTTCTCTTATTTTTTTATTATTTTATGCATTATCTTTTCACCCATTATCAATCAAATATTTACTTCTCTAAATGTTTCTTTTTTATTCAAAAAAATATTTTTTTCATTATTTTTTATATTAACACATTTGTGTTTTTTCTTTTTAATAGTATAGTCGTATGGTGGTGGGGTGACATCATAAGATTAGTGATTAACTTAATTCTCAAAAAATAATTTTAATCGTTACGTGACATCAATTTAGTATGGTAAATTTTGATGTAAAAGAGTATAGTTCAGAAATTAAATTAATATAATATTCTTTTGAAAACCCTTTTTTTAATAATAATTGAAGATTAAAATAAGATTTTGCTATAAAAAAAAAAAAAAAAAAGAGCGTTTGGATATGACTTCACAAATCTCGGCTAATGTCAGCATAATTAACTTAACGAATGATGCATACCAGTGCTTCACATATACATATACATACATTTTATTTTAAAAAATAAAAATAAAAAATTCATCACCCTTGCTCTTGTTTGTGTATGCTTTTCCTTTTGAAACATGATGGTTAGATACTGTTTTGGGAAACATGAATTGTGCTCAACTCAATAACAAGACAAAGACCTTTGGTTGGTGTGCACTGACACTGGGGAAGGTTGACATGGATCTTCTTGTCTTCCAATCTTCATAGGTGAATATGGGATTATGATTATATCCTCATCTTCAACCTAACAACATCAAACATTTATTTTAAGTCTTAAAATAAGATTTTTTTTTTTTCATGCAACTTAGTCTGTTTTCAGATTAAGATATTAAGAAATTAAAAAAAAAAATTAATATCTTTATAATTTGTTATATATATCATATTACAATCTTAATTATTAATTTTTAATTAATACCCCTCTCACATAAACATTCAAGTTAAAGATTGTTTTTTTCAACAAAAAAAAAAAAAGTGTTTCAAACACCAGACAACACACGTTCGGCTCAACCAGGGAACAAATTGTGTGTGTTTATGGTCAAATCTCTCTGTGAATGTGGGCCTGACTGAATTATTGGCTTCTAGCCCACTTTCACGTGTGCCACTCGTCCATTTCAATGGGCCTACATCTGTTACTGATAATACTCCCGATTCTTTTTCATCTTTGACTACAAAAATAAATAAATAAAACATAAGTAACTGTTTAAATAAATAAACATAAGTAACTGTGCAGAATCTGAGTTATTGAAAATTGTATAATAGTGTTGTTAATATGAAAAATAATGTTATGAAGAAATGTGTGATAAGTAATATAGTTCTAAAGAAAAGTAATACTACAATTAAAAAAATTAAGACTCAAAGTGACGAGAATTTTTATATCCTTGTATAAATCTTTAACTGTACTTCTAGATGTCTGTATTAAAAATATTAGAATGTAAATTGGATCCAAGTGTACAAATAATAAACCAATAATTTAGTCTTTTGAAAATAATTTTTTGTTTACAATTTATTATTTAAATTTAATTATTGTACAAGTTACTCTTTAAATTCATGTAATTTGTATTAATTAATCTTTCTTAGAGGTTATTAATTAATATTTCTTAGAGGTTAAAGTAAGATATTAAAAAGACTGAATTGGCATAAATTTTGTTAATTCGAGAACTAATTTAATTAAATTTAAAACTAAATTAAAAAAAGTTAAAGAATTAAATTACTTAATAAAATAACGACAAGGTTGTAAGCTTTCTCAGACACGTGAATGGGAATGGGATCCTTTAGAGTTAAAAAAAATTACAGTAGTGTATAATTCTGTAATTAATTTTTTATTTTTTTATTTTGTAACAAAATAAAATATTTTTTATGATTAAGGTCTCAAAGTAACATGGTAAATAAATGAAGTACCATGGGTTGTTTGCGGAATTCAAACATGAATGGATGAACACACATGATTTTAACTGCATTGTCTTATTTATTTATTTATTATGAAATATGTTTGTGGACCATGTAGACACAGGAGAGAGTGTGTGTGTGTGTGTGTTAGTGAGGTCAAATTGCAGGCAAAAGGCACCCACGTGCGCAACCTTATCCTAAACCCTACCACGTACTTTTGATTCTCTTTCGGTCACATTATGTCTCCTCTTGTCTTGTGGTCCCTACTCCCTAATACCTATTCTTTCATTTCCACTTCTCATACATATACCCCCCTATCCCCTTTTCTCTTCTCCTTTGAGAATACCATAATCATAATTTAAATGTATGTACTTTAAAATATGTTTAGTATGAAATTTTTCAATTGATAATTAAATTTTAATATGTTCAAATCATATAATAGTTAAATTTTCTTTCACTTAGATATTTGAAAGCATACTTAGTTTTAGTCTGAGTCTTCATATGATTGAAACTATTGCTGTACCCTTATTTTCCATCACATTTTGCCTGACACCAAACATATTTTGTTTTGCAAAACTGGGGAGGGAGAGGCAGGAAGAACAAAATGCCTAACAAAGAATGTTCTGTGTCTAGCAAATTTAGAATATTGTTGCGTTCACAGTTAAGTCGTAACATAGATTAGGTTCGATGTTGTTAAACAAGGCACCAACAATTTTGCCGGGTGTTGATAGTTCAGACACAACAGAATGACATTCCCTGCAACTATTGCCTGGCACAATAACAATAATAATAATGATAAATAATTGATTACCATGATTAGTATGTAATACTGATTGATTAAAGGAAGGTTATTAGAATAAGAGAAGGTTATATTTATAAACTTTTTGTTTACAAACTAGACTAAGTATGATCGGTCATACTTCAATCAAGAATGTATGACCGGTCATATTTAATGTAATTTGTAAAAAAAATTATAAACGGATGTTTCTCCATTAGAATATTGGTATTACTATAGATTCTTTTTTTGTAGATATTTTCTCACAATCGTTTGGAATCTATAGCATAAAATCAACTTCATGTTTATATTAAGATTTACAATTTCATAGGTCATAACCAGCATATAATACAATTGGTGATAAGGTCATAAAAAAAAACATAATAACACAATGCTGTTCTTACTACCCAAACAAATGATTATGTTAGAGCTGTGGTGCCATAGGGAAGAAAAATGAATTTGCACCGTAAACTCAAAAGGCAGGTACTATGATTGCTTTGACTTAAGTTCTTCCCCAATGAACGAGCCAAATTAGCCGAAAGAAGTTGAGGTTTCAGGATCAGATTAGTCAGGTTGTTCAGGTCCCCATTGTCTGTGGCGAACAGCAAAGCCAGCATTAGTCTTTGGTCCAATAGGCAGATACTTTGAACGCTATGAACATACCTTGCCAGTTTCTGTTGCCTTGTAAAAGATGAACTGGAATCAGGTATATTAAAAATTATTGTGATTTAGATTTTCTCATCTTATTAGATGACCCACAAATTTTCTCATATAAACACTCATTCATTTTAGTCTCTCTCTCTTAAAATGATATGTTACAAACTAGAATGAAAGAATCCAAAGCTAATAAAGAAAAAAAGATGAAGGATTTGCCACTGTTTCTGAGATTTATAATTGCCTTGGGGGGGTTAAGACAAGTTCATGGGCAGCTCAATTAGCTCTATCTCAAGCAAAGACAAGTTTCATGATCTGTAAGGCAATAACAATCTCAACGTTCATGAATCTGTCACCACCACAGCACATAATTTTAAGAGTTTATGGTAGACAATGCATTTGACTGTAGGGACATCATATCTTAAAAAGCCAAAACATAGCAATATACATATGCATTTTCTACTTTCAAAGTGAGAAAAGGTGAGTGACTATGTGAGCAAATCAGGTCCACATCCAAGATTTGAGAACCTGGAAGGAACATGCCATAACTTCACCACACATCAGAAAGCATTGATTACAGCTTGGTTGATCAAATCAAAGTATCAAACAATAAGTTCGCTGCCCACCATTACAGCCAAAGAAGTCAAGCAAAGGAGTAACAGTTCAATTTACCCCTTATTTTAAAAATGCAATCTATCAACAAAATGTAGTTACAAAAAAATCTTTGCTTCCCATTTGAAGTTAAAAACCATATTAGTTGATTGCCTTGCTGCCACCCCAGGAAATATAGCTATCCTGTGAACCGAATTCCTATAAAAAGAAGAAAGTCATCACAAATCAAGAAAATTTGGTGGTCATGACAAAAATAAATTAAATCATTGTAATGCCAGATCATTGAGAAAATGGGAATACCAGCTGACTTAGCCGAAACTCTGAAGGTGGTGTCTCAAGCTCTACATTAGCAGGGTCAAGGACAAGATTTTGGCACTCTTCAATATCTTTCTTCAGATGCTCTGGTCCTAGATGAGCATAAATAGCAAGACTGGGTCGTTCTTCATGTTCTCCATTTTTCCCATCCCTATTGGGAGACTGGCTTTGAAGGAGATCATCACACAAGGACAATGCTTCAACAAGTTGTTGTGAATCCAACAGATTCTGTGACTCACTATCCCACCACTTTGGGTCTTCAGCATTATTTTCTATATTATCTTCATAATTTTGAGTTTCTACCATTAGTTGATCAGATTTTGCAATCTCTTCACCATCAGCTTGAATGCCATCAACACAATCCATTTCGGGATGCTTTGTTAGAATATGGTGCAGAAGACAAAAACAGAAGAATAAGAATTATCAACTTCTGTAGGTGCTATTTTCACATTTCCCTAAACTATCATCACAGATTCACAAGCAGCAACTATCAAAATTAATATCATAACTCATAAGACTTTCAAATCATTGTCATTCAGAATTTGCCTTAAAAAATATAAGACATAAGAATTAGAACCTTAAGCTAAGCGGTTAAGTGACATTTCAGTATTAATAAACAAGAATGATTAGAAGTGTAAGAAATTATTTCAGAGCAGTGGGACCAGCCATGCATGCATCTGTTCGGAGAAAAACCACATCAAATAAATATCTACTCTTAAAAACGCCAGACCATAGCACATTGTTTAACCACATTAGCCTCAGTGGCGGAGCCGGGCTCAAATTTGAGTCCGGGCCAAGAAATTATACGTGTATTTATTTTTCTTAATTTTAGTTAGTTCATATCATAATATATTTAAATTGGGGAATGATCTGTTTATAAATTTTTTTTTACAAATTTTTGTAAATTATACCATACGAAGTACATAGTATAACCTAGTGTACTTTCGAGAGTACATAATATAGTTTGTAAGAGTTTATAAACAAAAAATTTATAAATATAACCCTCCCCTTTTAAATTATGTTAAATACAAAGTACCTGAGCAGCAGTACAAGAAGAATTATAATTTTATTAAATATTTTTAATTTTACTAAAAATAATTTTTTTTATACAAGTGGAAATTGAACACATAACTTAATATAACTTACCCAAATCTCTTACCAAAAATATTTTAAGTTTTAGATAGGGCCAAATTATAAATTGTAGCCCGGGCCAAATTATAATTTTAACCCGGACGAAATTATAATTAATTATAATTATATATAATAAGTATAATTTGTTAAAATTTAGCCCGGGCCGAAGCCACACCCAAGATACACGTGGCTCCGCCAATGATTAGCCTAATTCAATACCGGGAGCAAATCACATGTTTGGTGCTATGGGAATAAAATCACATATGGCTCTTTCATATTACATCAATACCAACCTTCATTTTGATGTTGTTATCTTAGCAAATGACATGTCAAAAATTAAATCCAGATTAAATACTTAAAATGCTTTTGGGTAAAAAAAAAGTGGGCACAGCATACGATTACAGAAGAACAGTTACACTCTCATTATATGATACATTTCTTCTGACAACAAAGCAAAACACACAATAAGAAAATTTTCATGGAAGACAATAATTGGAAAGAAATTTTTACGTTTGTTAAGAAAAGGTTTAAGGTTTTACCTGAGGAATATGATGCGATTCTTGTCCTATATGTAGATTAGAACATCGCTTTTCATTACGAGGAGGTTCAGGAGTGACGGATTTGGGTGTGACCGGATCAACTTTCACAATAGTTGCTTCAGTGGTTTCTCGAATATCCTGGTCATCTTTTTCACCCAATTTGACTTGCTGCTGCTGGTAAAACACTTTAGAGATGACATACTCTCCATCCTTTTCATCCTCTTCTGTTCCGAGATGATATTGATGCATAACCCAATTAGTTTTCTCAGCTTTTCCTTCTCTCACAGGGCTCATATACAGAACCAAAAACTTTTTACAGCCTTTTTGAACCCCATTCAAGATGACAGGTTTAGTCCTTCCAGTCTTGTGCCAGCGGACATCACCAAAATCCTGACCATATATCTTCCGACGCTTTCGATTGCCAGTATTATAAGCCTTGATTGCTCTGTGGAAAAAGTGAGAAGCACTTCCATCTTGCTTGACACCTAAATTTTTTTATTTTTTATATTAAAAAAATCATATAGGATAATATATTGATTGAAAAAATAATCAATCATTCAAGTTTGAATAAACTCATGCTATCCACCTGGTAAATGTTGAGGATGAGTATGACAAATTCCATCATCATCTTCAAGAGTAGTAATAAATTCATCAATGAAAGGGTGAGGTTTTGAATTTCCAGCACAAACTTTTGCAAGCAAGTGCCATATTATCTCTTGATCAGATGGATCAAATTTAACACCTTTAGGTAGTCCAGGCCACTCTTGTGCTACCTAACAACAGAAAGTTTACAAATGTCAGAACACCTATAAGTGCAATACTAGGGGACTTAAAAAGGATGAAGTTGCAAACTTAATTTCATTATATGTTTCAAACTTAATTGCATTATACGTTTAAACTTTTAACTCAATAATGGTAATAAACTTATAGGACATGTTTCTGCGACTCCAGATATATGGCAATCAGCACAGTTAAAAATAAGAAAAGCAAACACCAAAGTAACAAGCATTTCTGATCAGATCACCAATCTCTGCTGTTGAGAATGCGTGATAGAAAGAAGCAATACTTGGATAGTGACTGCAGCCCACTTTTTGGTGTCATGTGCCTAACTTCGAGGACAGATATCAGAAATTGCCATGAAATAGGCTCCTCTGTAACAAATGGTTTCCGTCTCTAGAAGTTTGCTAACATCATTACTAAGTAAAAACCATGCCAAAAGTGCTCTAATCCCCCCAACCAATCCAATGATACAACTGATCCTATTCGATTTTAGAAGTACATAGAGAAATTGTGTGTATACTGAACAATTCTGATTTCCTATTTCTCCCATCACTTTATAACAAGTTTGATGATTTCCACGCTGAATTACATCAGGAATGCTATTTTAGAAACAGCTAAAACAGCAAAGGAGTATTTATATGTGCTTGAGGGAAATGATGAATACCAAAAGGGGGAATCATTTATTTTAGATTCCAGATTTCAAATTGAGGCTGGTACAGTGCCAATGTGCCATAGATTCTTTCCCTTGCACCCTATCTTGCTAGCAATGCATCATTCTGTATTCTCTACAATTTCTTGATGCTTGAAGGAAAATTTGAATTTTTTTATACCCTTCTCTCCACCTCGACAAACGACCCCATTACTTCTAGTGAAGTTGAAAATTCATCTTGATGTACACATGGCATTAATATCAGGAACGAACCTTTGGTACCACAACATGAGCTGGAACTGGAAATGTGCAATTTTTCATAATGCAATCATACTTATCTAATATGTTGTTGAAGATAGCAGCACCCACATAAATTATATATTCAAAAGTGAATATTAAGTAATTTGCCTCTTGAATTGCTAAGAGATAGTTAAGGCAAAAAAACTCATAGTAAGCTTTAAACTCAGGGCAAACTGACTTGCCCGTTTGATTACAAGCTAGCATGGAAAATGATGAGATTATCATCTACAGACGGGCATAAAGAAAAGTGACAGTTTCCTTCCTAAGATATAAGTAGATATTAAATGCTTTTGCATTAATGTTTACATTCAGTTCAGTTGGGATAAATCCCTTCTCTCACTTTTTTTTTCTTCAGTTAATAGTAGCTTCAACTAAGGCATAACTGAATAAAAATCATATACAATCACACTCGCGCAATATCACTGACAGAACATGGCAAAGAACCATCAGCAAGACTAGCGTAATTATGATGAAAAGTAATAATGAAAACTAGACTAAATGTCAAGGAGGTAGAGGGTGAACATCTGCCATGAAATAAACCTTACACGCAAACATGCACACACAAAATAGAATATCCACATAGGAAGATGTTCCAGCGAAATATAACCCAAAGCAAAAATCAATATTATAAAGATACACATACATCGCTGTTGTCAATAACATGTTGACAATTTGGGCAAGCTCTGGTAGGATCGCTTTCCCATATAGCTTTTCCATATGCTCCAGATGCACTCTTTATTTTGGTTGCAATTCTACTTTTGTCCACCAACCACGATGGTCTGCATACGCAAGAAGAGATACAAAACTTAACAATCTGAATCGATGCATCACTTCACAACATAAATTGTAATAGTCACATGATCCAAAAACTAAGATCAAAATGATATCAAGAGTCCCTTACTACAAGCTTCCAAAGGGATAACACATTAAGAAATAATGAATCCAAAAAGAAAGTTACAAATGGTAACATTAATCAAAGAATAATTCAAAAAGGAAAAGGGAAAATTCTTAGTTCTCTAACATTAGTACAAAGATGGCCTGGAAACTCAGGAAAACACAGACAAGACACACAATTACAATTTTATTACTTGGCTAGAACTACATCCGTCCACCAATATTTAGGCAATTTGGACAAGTTCAAAATAGCTTTCAGAAAAGCTTATAATGAAAACGATTGATCATAGAGAATTTTTTCCTGAAAATCTGTTTTTGGGTAAAATTTAAGCAAAACCAAACATTAGCTTAATCAATATCACAACACAGGTGACAGTAAGCAGTGGACTACCATTTCCATTATATTTAGAGAAAACACACAATATGGTGGTGGGGATGCAAGTGCTCAAACCTGATTGGATTAAAAATAAAAAGTTGAAGAGTATAACCAAAAAAGCTACGAGCTTTCAATTGCTTACGGTGAACTCTCATTTATTTCTCAATAATAGAACAATGAACAAAGCATAGAGGAAACCATCTCAGAATAACTCAACCGAAATCCAAAAAAGCTATGATTTTTCACACGAAAGTAGAAACCCCATTTGCGATATAGTAATAGAAGCACACGACAATGTTCTTCTTCTTCTTGAATGATATTTCAGTGGGAAAATGAAGTAATTTGATACAGTACCAGGCAAAGAAAAGAGAGAGAGATACATACCCAGGCCCAGCCATAGGAGAGAAATGTTGATGATGAAAGTCAAGCGTGAGAGAGATTCAAAACCATCGATTCATGCTACTTGCTGAGTTGCTTCTCTCTCTCTCTCTCTCTGAGAAACTTCCCATTATTCAAAAAAGGAGTGTTGTTATCAAAAAAAAAAAAAAAAAAAGAGTGTTATGTCGTAGGTATTCTTTTAGGGGACGTTTGGTACGCGGCATTTGGCCGGATTCCCGGGAAACTGAATTTTTCTAAATTTTAAATTTTCGAATATTATCGTAAACTGAATGTAAAAATCATATTTTTGAAAATTGAGATTCCCAGACAAATAAAAATTTCTCCTGTACCAAACGCCTCCTAGGCTTATCATATTATGTTGAATAGATTTGAAATCAATGAAAATTAATTTTTCTCTTTCAATCGTTGATTTCAAATTAATAATCAAACAGATAATAATAAAAATGGTAAGAATAAAATGACAAATATAATCGTCCCTAATGTTTAATACCTTCTTTCTTCTTCTTTTTTGTTTTCTCATTTCAAAATCTAACTTTATATTATTATTTTTTCAAAATTTAATTCTTATATTTTTATAAATTTTAAAATAAGTTTGAATGATAAACAAATGAAGAAAAAGAATCACCTTTTTTAGAAATACAATGAAAACTAAAGCAACATCAAAAAAAGTCCTATACTGGGCACAATCTTGGGAGACTAACTCCCCTCAAGTCATTACGAAGCAATTCCAAACAAGCCGTTAGAGGGACATCCAGCACAATCAGCTGTCCATCCTGATGAGGTGCATGAGTAGCAAGCCAATCAACAACAAAATTGCCTTCTCTATAAGTATGACTAAGCTGAATAATCCAGTCTCTTTGAAGCATGCTACGAGCTCGGATGATTAAAGCAGAAAGAGGATGACTTACGTCACACCCTTTTCTTATAAATTCCAAAGCCACCTTGGAGTCACCCTCCACAAAGACTCTCCTAAATCCCTTATGCCAAGCCAGATCCATACCTGTCAAGAACCCCCAAATTTCCGCTGAAGTAGAAGTATCACTCCCAAAGAATTTTGTAAAACCAGTTAACCAGTTCCCAGCAGCATCCCTTATGACTCCACCACATGCAATCCTTTGCCCACTGTCTATGCTGGAACCATCCACATTAAGTTTAACATAACCCTCAGAGGGAAAATTCGAGTGAATAAGACGTTCCTCTCTTCTAAGCTCCTGATGACCAATCTTAATAAGGGTTTCATTAGCCAATTGAATATTACCACAAGTATAGGTAATGCGCCTAATGAGACCATACTTCGAGGTGCTAGTTTGATAAAAGATCGCCTTATTTCTTTCCCCCCACAAACACCAAGCTATCACCCCAAAATACAAAGGCCAAGTTCGATCAGTTTGAAACGAACCTTTTAATCCTAGATTTGTCTGAATCCATAGGTGAAGATCCATGGAGAAAAAGTCACTACGGTTATCAGGAGGAACCCAATGCTCCCATAATTCCCTGGCACCAGGACAATCTCTAATGGCATGTAAACTATCCTCACGATTATAATGACATCTCAGACACCCTGCATTTGTAGCCATGTGACGATGCACTCTACGAACATTAGTTAAAAGAGAACCTCTGTAGAGAAGCCATAAGAATTGTCTAATACGTTTAGGATCAGGCCAAGCCCAAATTACCTTCCAAATCCTATCCTGATGATAATGCGAGGTACCCATGAGATAGTTATAAGCTGATTTCATTGAAAAAACCCCATCTTGGCTACCTGCCCAAATAACACGGTCCGGAGAAGGATCCACTGTAGGAGGGAGCACACTACGAATCTTGTCTAATACTGAAGTAGGAAGAAGGTGTTGAAATAAAGGCCAGTCCCAATTACCATAACAAGTTACAAATTGAGACGTAGACCAATGAGTCATAATAGGAGGAATAGGTTGAACAACCAGAGAAACAAGTTGAGGACATCCTGGCACCCACGAATCCATCCAAAAAGACGTATGAACCCCATCCCCTAAAATGATACGAGAATTCTCTAGAGTTTGAGGCCAATACTTAACAATAGCCTTCCATAAACCAGAATCATTTGCGGAAGCTGAGATACTTGGAATGAGCCTTTCCTCCACCTTATACTTGCTACGAAGGACCCGAACCCATAATGAATTACAATCAGTCATGATTCGGTGACCTAGCTTCATGATAAAAGCCATATTATTCTCTTTAATTTTACGAAAACCAAGCCCCCTACATTCTTCGGCAAACAGACCGTCTCCCAAGAAACCAGGTGAGCTTTCCTTCGTTCAGAAGTTGATCCCCAAATGAAATTCATAGTTACACTCTCAATACGATCACACGTACCACTAGGAATAATACAAGTTTGCATAGGATATTGAGGAATTGCAGTAAGAACTGACCTAGCCAAAGTTGATCTTCCTGCCAATGAAAGAGTACGTTGATTCCAGGCATTTAAACGAGCTTGCATCCGATTTAAGATATAGTCAAACGTACTCTTTGTAACACGGCTATGACGAAGAAGAATACCCAAGTATTTACCCAAGTCATTTGTAGGAGAGTAGCCCATCAACTGGCTTGGATTCTGCACTCGGGTATAATTAACGTTTATGGAGAAGAAGACTTTTGTTTTTTCCTTGCTAACCTTCTCACCAGAGCACCTGCAAAAACAATCAAGAATCTTATTAATAATAACAGCTTGCCCCTATGTGGCTTCTGTAAAGAGCAGAAGATCATCTGCAAAAAATAGATGGGAAAACAGTGGTCCCCTTCTATTCAATCTGATAGGCTTCCAAACGTCCTCTTGAACTGCTACATTAATCAAATGAGCAAGTCTTTCCATGCAAAGGATAAAAAGATAAGGAGACAAAGGATCTCCCTGACGAAGACCTTGATTAGGAGAAAATTCTGTCGTAGTTGATCTATTCCAGAAAAAGAATCACCTTGTACTTAAGAACTGTGAGACATACATTAAATTAGAACATAAATTAAAATAAATAGATAAAGATATTTTCATTTTAAAATTAAATTTTATGTACTTTAGACTAAACTAATAACAAATGTACCTTTATTCATTTGCTTTTCTCCCGTCCTGTTGACTTTGGCTTCATGTCTTACATTGTAATTTACCTACGAAAACGTGACTAAGCCTATGCAGGAAATATTATTTTTCTCCTTGTATAAGATTAACGGGAAAAATGTTCTACTTTTTTTTGGGTTTTTCAAGGTATCATTGAGCCGACAGCCGAAGAATAATCTTTTCGAGACGGGAGATCCCGTTAACTCATTAAGTGGGTAAATATCTCCTAACAAAGTTTTTTTCATACACTCGGCCAGGGATCGAACCCCTGTCAAGGTGCTTAAAAAACCCAACTATCTACCAACTGTGCTGAGTTTTGTTGGTTGTTTGTACTTTTTTTAAAGAATATAATTGTGTAATTTTAGATTTTAACTGTAAATTTTCATCAATCAATGATTAAATTTATTGGGTTTTATTATGTATTACTAATTAATTAATAAATTTGACCCAATAAATTCTATTCATTGATTGATGAAAATCAATAGTTAAAATTTAAAATGAACAAAATTATATATTCGGACAAGTATTTTTTCCAAAATTAATTATCCAATACAATATATAAAATAAATAAATGGGATTCATTTATTTATTTTTTTATCTTTAATTTAATGGGTTCTACTTATTTTATTTTTATTAGATAAGATAAATTTTATAGATATATCATATATATATATAATACTTACAAGTTTTTTCCACCGGTGATTGAGTTCCACTCATGATCTTAAACTTGAGCCCATAAATACACAGAAGATTTTTCCTAATCAACTCATCGAAGATGGTTGAGATTAGTGTGCATCCTAAATTAATAATTAATCAAACAATACATTTGAGACTTAAACGAATAAACGCTCATTTTTTTAATACTCTCCAAAATAAAAACCCAATTTTTTTGACTACCCTCCTACTAAAATAAATGTGTAAATCATTCTATTTAAAAATAAATCCAGGTTATCTTCTTATAACTCCATCGGTACAAACTTCAATCACGAAACTTGAGTGCAATTTTAAAGGCTATGTTTGTTTAAGCGTTAAAAAAATTATTTTTAAAATTACTTTTTCAATCATTTTTCAATTTTTTTAATCTTTCAAAAAACTTATATAATTATTATACAAATTTTAACTAAAAAAAAAAAAAAAACCCTCATAAACAAATCCCCGATCTCCGGCAAAGGTGCATCCGTTAGGTCCGATCCAAAATCAGTCTTAGTCCAAAATCAGCTTTAATACTGGAGAGAATCAAATACATACTTTTACTCTCACCTGCTCAAATTTTTTCACAACACCTAAACTACCATCATTTGATTCAACAAAATACAATCCATCGTCAACAAAAACAACCCCAAACACAAACCCACGCATACAAACTAATAATGCCTGTTTACATTTGATACACTTGTAAATGCTCTTGTGCTCAGATGTGACAGTAGTAGCTAGCTCTGGTGAAACACAATCAATGCTAAAACAAAAAAGAGAGGTTCTTATAGGTTAAAGGAAGAATTTTTTTTTTTTTATCCCTCTAGGGAACAATTTCACTTTTACTTAAATCTGTATAAATCTCATGGTTAAACCTACAAAATGCATGACATCTAATAGTAATATGAGAAAAATATGTGTGGTTTTAAAGGATATAAAATTAGGTTATTTTCAGAGAAAAATAGAAATAAATCATGAGAAGAGAGAATGGTTTTTTTTTTTTTTCTTTCTCCCTATCACTTATCTCTA